CTTTCACCCACTTCCCAGGCAGACCGTGTGGGAGGAAAAATCAAAGGCAGAGGCTCACAAAAGACAAGAGGAAAAACGCAGGACACACGCAATGTCCCAGGGCGGGGTCTCCACTCTGACAATGCAGGAACCGTAGCAAGCACAGAGGAAAGAGACCGCAAGCATTTTCCCCAGCACACCAATGGCTATTTCTAGGAGGCGAGCCCACCGCACACGACATTGGTTTTCTGCTACACTGCCCGACAGTTTCATTCTTTTTCTGCGGCGAGCATGCGTGCCTTTATTTTTGGCTTTGTTTTGTTTACATCTCATTCTAGAGAAAAGAGCGCAAGCTGGTGTTCACGTCGCACCTTTGCGCTCAATGGCTAAGGGCATTTCACTGGTTTGGAAGAGGTACTGTTGCTGGCTGGCTGCATTTCCGTGTGCATCACAGCTTGGGGGAGAAAGGCCAGGCTAGGAGGACCGAAAAGCTGCTAGCAGCAACATCTCCAAAGAAACCACTCCCTGGAGAGGCTCTGGGGTCAACACCTACTCAGCAGCCTCCTCTCTGGCCTTCCCGCCTTCCAGCATCTCGGCCAAGAGAAACTCAGGTTCTGAATCATGGTCCCAAGGCCCTGTTTCAGTTCTCAAAGAAAAGGTGATTGTGGCCACTAATTGACGGCTATGGCTCTTGAAACGAAGTAGAGCCTTTATTGGGAGCTAGCAGTCAGTACAGGCACTTTAGAGAGGTTTGCTTTGCCGTACAGGAAGGCTAGGAGACCAGGAAGGTTGGAGACAGGACCGTTATGTTATGCTCCCTGGTGGGGGCTGCAATCAACTAGCGGAAACCATGAATCCTTGAACAGAAAGCTCCACCTGCTCTGTAAACCTTCACCCCGTTCACAATAGAAAAGCTCTTCTCAAAGGGACAACAAAACATTCAGACAGACCTTCTGAGACATTCAGACAGACCTTCTGAGATGTTTTGCATTTGAAATGTGATAGGAAACACCTAGGCACCTCTCATGTACACAAATTTAAATGCGGAACCACACCGTTTAAGATCCCGACTTCTGTAGTTATCCTGTCAGTGCTAACAGTGTGGTCTCCTTCCACCGCTTTCCCGAATTTAGTCACAGTGTCTTTGTCCGTGAAGGCTGCCGGTCTTCCCTCTCTTGGGTCATCTTTGAGATCTTCCCGACCTGCCTCCAACACTTGGAGCCATCTAAGAACTGTTGTTTTATGGGAGGCGGCATTTCCATACACTTATTACAAAGCTTCAATTATTTGGGGACATGTCCATGGTCACCTGAGTCTTGTTAAAAATGTGGTATTAGCCCTGGCGTCAACATCTTTCTTCTACAGGCACACACACACACACACACACACAAACCCTCACTGCCAATTCACAGTGACCCTATGGGACAGGCTGAAACTGCCCCTTTCGGTTTCCCAGACGGTAACTCTTTCAGGGAGTAGAAAACCTGGTATTTCTCCCACACTGGCACAAAGGTATCCCACTTTAAAACAATTTTTGAAGGTACTCTAATGGGACTAACAAGTTTATGTCCAAGATATAATTTTTTTTTGGGGGGGGGCAACCACTGTTGGCAAAGACAGGTTGAAACCTGTTGTTCGCAAAAAACAATCTCTATGGAGTGCAGTTCAACTTTGCATGTAGCGGATTACCATAAGTTGGAGCTGACTGACAAATGGTGCTTTGGTTTTTAATAGCACCAACCACCTAAATCAACGGAGCTTTGCAAATCCATGTTTCACTTATGAGAACTTAGGGTCGGACCTCACAATGCTAGTAAAAAGTTATGAGTCTTAAACAAAACAAGTATACAAAATGTGAAAGAGCAGCGTGAATGAAGATCTTCTCATTCATGGATACTTCTCAAATTTCTGGGCAATGTGCACAGAGCACCTTCCATTCAATGCACAAAGCCCATACAGGTGACATCCATAGGCTGTGTCATGAGTAAGAAAGCCAACATAGAATTGTAATCTCCAGCAGTCATCTGTCTTAGGATGTACTTCAGACACATCCACTGGGAAACCTTTTATGGAAGCATACCACAACTGAAAATTCTGATCAAAGATTACATGGAAGAATCCTGATCAAAGTGTAGAAATGCAAAACAGAGTTTCAAATTCGAGTAGACTCCAGGCATCATGGAGTCGTTGAGGGTGGATGAAGCCCTGAAACTGTTGCCTGGAGATCAACTTTAAACCTTAAGCCAGAATCATCTACTGGAGTCATCTTAAAACCAATAGTTTAGCTTAAGTAGTAAAAAAGGTTGGCCTAGAGTCTTATGCTCTTTGAAGATCAACCTATACAGGATCAAATGAACCATAACAAGGAGGATTGGATGGGAACCGTAGGTGGGCAGTGAGTTCAGCTGATGAGGCAGGAACAACTCAAACGTAGGGTGAGAATGGTTGTACAACGCCAAGAATGTAATCAACCTCACTACATTGTACATGTAGAAACTGCTGGATGGGTCTATGTTTTGTTGTACATAGTTTCAACAGAAAATTTAAATTTAGGGAAAAAAATATGCCTCTTCTAAGTGGATAATTCACTACATTATGAAGTTGTGGAGTTGAAAAATATCAGTCAGTTCAAGCCACGCTCAGATAAATTCATGGATAGCTGATGTACCTGCGGCTGATTACCAAGAAGCGGCACCAAGAAATTCTTCTTATCCTTTGATGTCAAACGTTAGCTAGCAGTGTGGAGTTGTGGCATGGGAATTCATGAACCTAGAGGCTGGCAAACTAACCTTTGCTCCACCTACTAATTAGTTAGGTGTCCTCAGGCAAAAAAGTTTAGTCTGCTGTGCCTTGAATTATTATCTATAAAATGAGTGAGAAGCAGAACACTTCCAGCTATAAAGTTGGATGAGACAACTTGACTCACTGCCATCCAACCAAAACTGACTCAAAGCAACCCACTTGCGGGTCTCGGAGACTGTAACTGTTTGAGGGAGTAGAGAGCCCAGTCTTTCTCCTATGGAGCTGCTAGTGGTTCTGAATTGTGGCAGCCCAACCCATAACCACTACACCACTGATACAATTTAGGGAGGGCGAACACAATTCATTCTGCAATTCATTCCTTTAAAGTATAAAAGGCCACTGGGTGGGGTTCCATCAAATGCATTGTAGCCAAGAGGAATTACTGAGAGCTGAATAAAGGTTGAACAGGGTAGTGGGACAGGAGTGAAGTAAAAGGAAATAAAGGAAAGAACTAAGAGGCAAAAGGCATTCATAGAGGTATCAATATAGGCATGTATATAGGTAAATATATTAATATCTAATGATAGGATTAGAGGTCTATGCACATATGTTAAGCGTCAAGGTAGCAGACAGACATTGGGCCTCTACTCAAGTGCTCCCTCAATGGAAGAACACCTTATTCCAATAACTTGATTTTCTGTGATGCTCACCTCCCCAACACAATCGCTGAAGTCAAAAAGGGTACATAAGCAAATGTGATGAAGAAAGCTGATAGTGCCTGTTTATTACAAGATATAGTGTCTGGGGTCTTAAAGGCTTGAAGTTAAACAAGCTGCCATCTAGCAGGGAAGCAACAAAGTCCATATGGGAAAAGCACACCAGCCTGCATGATCACGAGGTGTCGAAGGGATCAGGTATAAAGCATCAGAAGATTCAAAATAAACGATCATGTCAATGTGAACGAGGGCGGGGGGTGGGGGGTGGTGGAGTGCAGACCCAAAGCCCATCTGTAGACAATTGTACATCCCCTCACAAAAGAGTCACACAGAAGGGACAAGCCAGCCAGGGTGCAATATAGCACCGATGAAACACACAACATTCCTCCAGTTCTTTAATCCACCCCACCCCCACTATCAGGATCCTAGTTCTACCTTACAAATCTGGCTAGACCAGAGCATGTGCACTGGTACAGATAAGAGCTCTTGACACATGGAATCCAGGACAGATAAAACCCTTAGGAACAATAATGGGAGTAGTGATACCATGAGGGTAGGGGGCAGGTGGGGGCAGAAGGGGGAGAAAGGGGGAACTGATCACAATGATTGATGTATATCCCCCGCTCCCCACCCCCGGGGATGAACAACAGAAACGTGGGTGAAGGGAGACAGCGGTGAGTGTAAGATATGAAAACAATAATAATTTATAATGTATCAAGACGTCAGGAGAGTGGGAGGATGGGGGAGGGAGGGAGAAAAGAGGAGCTGATACCAAGGGCTCAAGTAGAAAAAAATGCTTTGAAAATGATGATGGCAACTATGTACAAATGTGCTGGACATACGGACTGTTATAAGAGCTGTAAGAGCCCCCAATAAAATGATTTTTATATTTAAAAAGTATGAAAGGCCACCAAGAGTTACACCAACAAGGCACCTTCAATTGATCCTGAGCCAACCCACTCTGAAGTCACAACTGACTTGTGTCTGTGTCAAAGGCCACTCAGATCTAGGGATCTGCTGGGGTTTGGAAGGCAGAGCAGAACAGAGGCACAGGGCTTAAATGTCCGGTTTCAGGTCTCCTGGCCACTGCACCAGAAATTCTTTCGACTTGATCAGGGCTCTCAAAGGGAGGGGCAGCATTGGACAAGACAAGATAACCAGCTGTTCTATCATCCCTGAGCACTAAACCCTCCCAGAAGGGGCCTGACGCCCACTGCCTGGTGGCCAGGTGCCTTTGAGTTGGTTCCGACTCAAACTGACTCTGGACAACACAAGGCAACATCACCGGGTCCTGCGCCTTCCGCACGCCAACTACTTGGCATACAATTCCCATGAAGGTCAACTCCGCAGGGCCAGCGGATCCTTCTGCTTTCTGAAATCTATAGCTTGGATCTCAAGTTAGGATTTCTGCAACTGTAGGTGTGTTCAAGCTGTGAGGGTCTTTCTTTGGGAGGGGGGGGGAGGTGAATGGGGAGGAGGCGGGGGAGGGCTGAGAGACAGGGGAGCCCAGGACACCCAGGCCTGGATCGCCAGAGGTGGGGGTGCCCGCAATGGGTCAGTCACCTGGGAGCTGATTCCTCTGCCTCGGGCTTCTGATGCAGCCTGATGTCACCAAGGGAGCAAGTTTCTGCCTTAAGGCACCCGCCGCCAAGCCTCCACACCGGAACATTTCGGCTACAGCTCCTCCGATCTTTTCCTCCTTCCCTTTCTTCTCACTCACCAGCCGCCGGGTCAAACACCATGGGCGCCTACTCGCGCCACCCCCCCTTCCTACGTACATTACGCAGGCCCCGCCTCCAGGCTCTGCGTCGGCATTGGCCAGATCCTGACAGCGTGTTTTAGCAAAGAGCCAAAAACCCCGATCGCAGGCTGACTGCGCAGGCGTCGCAATCAATGCCGCCTTGTGATTGGACCGCACAATGAAATGCTCTAAGGAGGACCTGGATCGATTTACGCATGCGCGAGCTGCAGGTTTGCTGGGACCCCGGCCCAGGACAGCAGATTCTGGCGTTGACAGCTCTCTGACTTGAGAGAGCTTGGAAAGCTGTCCAAACAGCGACTGATGGATCGGTTTGGGTTGGCTGTTAGGGCTAGTTCAGTCGTTGTTTTCATGATAGGAACTCTTAACGGCACCTCACACAGCAAGGATAGAACACCACACTTAATTTTTTTTCCGTTTTAGCCACTAGCTAAAGACTAAGCCTATAGGATTTAGTCCACTTCCAATCTTTCCATAGGTCGGAGTCCAGATCCGGAATAAACCTTAGTTTTTATACACATTGCTGCCACTTGCCCCACCCAACCCCTATTTAGAACAAGAAGTCACTCAGGTCTCAATTTTTCTTGATATTACTTTTATATTGTGCAGGTCTGTCCCCTGGATGTTGTGCCAGTTGCTGAAGTCCGTCTCCTATTGTGGTTTCTGTGCTTAAGAGAAATCTTATGCAGCGTTTCATGACGTGGGGAGTAGTTTTTTATTTTGTTTTCACATCTAAAATGTAGGTTAGATTGGAAATGATTTTTTGGCTGTATGCAAAAGATACAGCCAGTTGCTATGGAATCAGTTTCAACACGTGGTGACTCGTGCATGTGTGTCAAAATAGAACTGTGATTCTTTGGGTTTTTAATGGAAGTGGATTGCCAGGCCTTTCTTATGAGGCACTCTGCATAGGCTCAAGCCACCACATTTTCAGTTAGCATCCCAGTGCATTAACCCTTTATGCCAATGAGCAACTCCGTGCCAAACATGCTTTTTCCCCCTGAAGATTTAGGTTAGGTTACATGTTGATTTAACATGTATTTATTGAGCACTTGTCACTTGAACTGTATTGCAAAGGGCTTTGGGTGCTAGGAAAGTTGAAAGTGGTGAATTGGTGACTGTCTAGTTAGGGAGATGACATGTACAGTGAACCCTCGCCACTTCGCGCTTCGACTTCTGCGGCTTCACTCTATCGCGGTTTTTGCGTAACAGCACCCGCTCCTTCAGAGGAAAAAGACGGCGACCCACCTGTAGAGTACATCCCTTAAGTCATTTCATAGGCTATTGATTACAGTATTTGTAAGAACTATGTATAATAATACTGTATGTGAAATATGTAATACTGTAAACTAGATGCCATAAATAATATAATAAATAATAAATGATAATTGTAACGTCCAAAATTTTTACTGTATTTTCCCTTTTTTGTTTAATAAATTGGGTAATACGAGTGTAATGGTGACTAAAGGGTGTTTTTTCATGTCCTCTATGCTCTAACTACGAAAATATTTGATTTACAAATAAGGAATCCTACTTCGCGGAATTTCATTTATCACGGTAGGGTCTAGAACCGATTAACCGCGATAAACGAGGGTCCACTGTACTGCTTATTTAAATTTGACATCGCATCTGATAGACTGCTAGAGCAAATAAGGCATATAGGCTGAGGCAGGGTACCCTGTTAGGGACTATAAATTTGAAGAGGCTTTGATTCTGTAGGTAGGTGTGGTGGGATCAGAGAGACAAGTGCCAGCCAGACCTGGAAGCAGACCAGTGAAAAAACGTGAAATTGCTCACTACAGATTAGTAAGTAAGCACATCAGCTCATGCTTACCTTTCTTAATGGATAATGTGACACTGAATACGTGTTGGGATGACTAAGGAAGAGCTTCGTGCAAGAAATGTTATGTGGCCCAAGGCACTCACTAGATAAGTTCAATGCTATCCCGATACAAATACCATCATCTTTCTTCAAAGAATTGGAAAAACTGTTTACCAACTTCATGTGGAAAGGGAAGAAACCCAGAATTAGCAGAGAACTCCTCAAGAAGAAGGACAGTGTGGGAGGGCTTGCTTTACCTGACTTCAGCACCTATTATACAGCCACAGTGGTCAATACAGTGTGGTATTGGTATAATGACAGGTACTCAGACCAATGGAAAAGGATCGAAACCCGAAAATAAAGTCATCAGCATATAGACAACTGATCTTCCATAAGGGCCCAAAATATATCAAATGGGAAGCGAATGCCCTCTTCCTTAAGTGATGCTGGAAAAAAAATGGATATCTACCTGCAGAAAAATAAAGCAAGACCCTTACCTCTCCGTGCACAAGAATAAACTCCAGGTGGATCACAGACTTCGAGGTAAAAACCCAAATAATTCTTAGGGCCACCAATGAGAGAATTGGGACAAACCCAAGAACTTTGACTCAGTGAATACATAGGCTATCTGAAATAGGGAAGGACATAAACACAGAGGAGGCACAAATTGACAAGTGGGGTATACTGAAGATAAAACACTTGTGTACATCGAAAAAATTCACCAAGAGTAATAAGAGGGACCACAGACTGGGAAAACATCTTTAGCAATGACACATCCGACAAAGGCCTTATTACTAAAATTTACAATACTCTGCTAACCTACAACAAGAAAAAAACCAATTGCCCACTGAGGAGATGGGCAAAGGACCTGAAAAGAAGTTTCTCAAAGGCAGAAATCCAAATGGCCAATAAACATATGGTAAAATGTTCTAGACCCCTATCCATAAGAGAAATGCAAATTAAAACAACCGAGAGATATCACCTAACAACCTCAAAGATAGCCCAATTCAAAAAATCAGAAACTAACAAGTGTTAGAGGGGCTGTGGAGAGATAGGAACTCTCATCCAATGCTGATGGACCTGTAGGTATGTAGAGCCACTATGAAAAGTGATTTGGTGATTTCTAAAACAGATGGAAATTGAGCTACCATACGACCCAGCAATCCCCTACTGGGCATATACCCAAAAGAGGCAAGAAACAAACCATGCTCAGACGTCTGTGCTCCAATGCTCATCATGGCACAGTTCACAATCACAAGGAGTTGGAAACAACCCAGATTTCCATCAATGGAAGAATGGATTAAAAAATGGTACATACATACAATGGAGTACTACGCATCCCTAAAAAGCAGCGATGAATGCATGAAGCACACCACCCCATGGGAAGAACTGGAGGAAATTATGCTAATCGAAGTAAGCCAAGCACAAAAGGACAAGTACAACATGAGTCCAGTGACGTAAGTTCAACAATGCAAAAAAGGACATACAGGGAAAGCTACTAAATACATCCATGTCCGGGGTGAGGTCCAGGTACTGGCAGGTGCCAATCCCAACCCAGGGATATGTGGGCACCCCACCACCACCACCATCTCATAGGAATGCACTTCAGAGGACAGCACTGAAGCTGCAGCTCAGGAAGTGGGATGTGTCTGATCAGGAGCAAACGAAGAGGGAAGGAGAGAGTGGAACACACCCCGGCCCACCAAGCCCTGAGGACAATACTCCAGCTCAGAGCAGCCAATGCAGAGAAAGGATCACAGGGTCGGCCACATCACAAGTAAGAGACAAGACGGCATGTCCCTCACTGACACATAGCGCTGAGGGGGACAGCACTGGGGACACAGTGTGGGAGATGTGCCTGATCTGACCCCACCACGCCAGGGTGGACACGAAGGGTGTACCGAGGAGCAGCAAGGGGAGCAAAGCAACGAAGTCCCCGAGGAATGCCAAAGGTGGCCTTGGGGCCCAGGATGTGGCACCCCAGCGGACTCAACTGGAAAACAATCATAAAGGTCAACGGACAGACCTGGAACTGCTTGAGGGATTTTCAGTTTTGGTTGCTGGTTTTTCCTTTTCTCTTTATTTCTTTTTTGTTGTATTAGCTGTTGTTGATTTATTTTTTGTCTTCTTTTTTTATGATTTGCTCTGTTTTGTTTTTGTGAGTATTATTGTCTATGCATGTCTATCTGGACAAGATAGGCGTGATGAAAAATCTGGAGGAGAGAACAATGGGATTGACGGTTCCGGGGGGACACGGGAGAGGGAAAGATGAGGGGAATGGAGGGAGGTGCCAACAAAGCCAGGGACAAAGGAAGAATAAGTGGTCTAAAATTGATGGCAAGGAGGGTATAGGATGCTTGGTGGGGTGGGGCTTGATTAAGGGCAATGTAGCTGAGAGGAATTACCAAAACCCAAATGAAGGCTGAACATGATAGTGGGACAGGAGGAAAGTAAGCAGAAATAGGGGAAAGAACTGGGAGGCATAGGACATTTATAGAGGTCTAAATGCAGGCATGAATATACGTAAATATATTTATATACAAGGATGGGAATAGAGTTATGTACATATATTTATTTATAAAGTATTACAGTAGCATATGGACATCCACTCAAGTACTCCCTCAATGCAAGAACAATTTGTTCTACTAGCACGACACTTTATGATGTTCACCTTCCCTGACACGATCGCTGAAGACAAAATGAGTGCATAAGCAAATGTGGTGAAGAAAGTTGATGGTGCCTGACTATCAAAATATATAGCACCTGGGGTCTTAAAGGATTGAAGATAAACAAGCAACCATCATCTAGCTGAGAAGCAACAAAGTCCACATCGAAGAAGCACACCAGCCCATGTAATCATGAGGTGTCAATGGGATCAAGTATCAGGCATCAAAGACCCCAAACAAAACAAACAAACACACAAACAAAAAGCATATCAATGGGAATGAAGGAGAGGGCAGATGGAGACCTAAAGCCCATCACTAGTAAGTTGGATACCCCCTGTCAGAACGGTCACAAGGAAGAGAAGAGCCAGTCAGGGTGTAGTATAGCACCGATGAAACACACAACCTTCCTCTAGTTCTTTAATGCTCACCCCCCCCACTACCATGACCCCAATTCCATCTTACACATCTGGCTAGACCAGAGCATGTACACTGGTACAGATAAGA